GAGAAGGGAGCTCACGGAGCCGTAACTCAGATCTCTAGAGAGGGGACCCTCGCTGGCTGGTGTTGGTGTGGGAGAGGAGGGGAGGACAGGATGTGGCTGCTTCTGCTAATCGGATCCAGCTGCTCCCGTGTGGCACGGTATTGCTGCTGCCTGGTGATCAAGGTGGGGGTGGAATTCATGGGAACAGAAAGGACATGACTCTCTGTCCCTGTCTCTCTCTCTAGTGCTCCCTATTGGCAGGGCCTAGCAGCGCCTGGTGGGCAATGCACAGGTGTTGGTGGACAAACTAGGGGCTGGAAGGGTGGTTTCGGGGCTGAGTGACGATAGTTTAGTAACTGACCCAATGTTCATGGCCAAGATTGCACACTGGTGGCCTAGGAGCTACTTTTGGTCCCTGGCCACGTATGGTCCCTAGACATGTCTCCTGTAGCATTCATGATAGTTTAAAACAAACATGTGTGTCTGGGTTTACTTTTAAACTCTGAACATGTGCTTCCTGCGAAATCCACACAACATCATTGTTCATGATTTATACTTTTAAAAGACAGATGAGTAGGAAGGCAGTTCGAAATGATCTAGTCTTCAGTTTACACGTGTGATGGGAAGGCCCTTAGAGGGTGTGAGAATTTCCTCCCAAATCTCACAACCAGCGAAGGAGATTTGGGGGTTCTACGGCTGGGATTCTCATCACTACCCCTTACTGTGCTTCTAGGAAGATGTGTGTGCTACGGCCTCCCGCTGTTCAGAGTGTGGTCCATGGATCAGCAACACCAGCCTTGTTAGAAATGCAGAATCTCGGGGCGCCTGTGTGGCTCAGTCGGTTAGGGGTCTGCCTTCGGCTCAGGTCATGATCTCAGGGTCTTGGGATCGAGCCTCATGTCGGGCTCCCTGCTCAGCTGGGAGTCTGCTTTTCCCCTCTCCCTCTGCCTCTCTGCCTGCCTCATTCTCTCTCTCACTCATGCTGTCTCTCAAATAAATAAATAAAATCTTAAAAACAAAAAAAGAAATGCAGAATCTCAGGGGTGCCTGGTTAGCTCAGTCAGTTGAGCATCTGACTTTTGACTTTGGCTCAGGTCATGATCTCAGCAGGCTCTACACCGGGTACAGAGCCTGCTTAAGATTCTCTTTCTCCCTCTCCCTCTGCACCGCCCCTACCCTGGCTTGCGTGTGTTCTGCCTCTCTCAACTGAAAAAAAGAAATGCAGACTCTCGGACCCCACACCAGACTTGCTGAATCAAAATATGATTTTAATGAGATCCTCCCATGATTTATGTGTGCGCAGTAACCTTTGAGAAGTGCTAAGGATATTTTATTGAGAAAAGGAAACTAAACTTTAATTGGCTGCTAGTGTTTTTCTCTGGAGGGGGACCAAGGTAAGGAGTGTGCAGATGGTTCTCAGCCAATCTCCTGACCACTCCTTTGATTTCTCATCTCCCTTCCTCCCAATATATAGGCCCCCACACGTGATGCAGACAGCCCTGTGCACACACATAACTACATGTGCATGCATCCAAAGATGCATACGTGTTCTCTCTCTCTCTCTCTCACACACACACACACACACGAGCCATTTATGAGGTGGTCTCGGCTCTACTGTCTCACCTCTGTGCCTCACCAGGTTCCCCCACGTGCACTCTGCTCTACTCACGCTGAACTACTTGGGCGCCACTGCCCAAACATATCAAGTGGTCTTTTTGCCTCTCTGTCTTTTGCACCTGCTGCCTGCCCCTGCCTGGAACGCACTCCCCCCACCACCAAGATGGAAACCTGACCAGCTTCTCTGTGACCTCCACCCACAATGACTTCTTTTGGAAACTTTCCCACATTGAGCGAAGTGTATACAGACTGTGTTCCTTCTCTGTGCTTATATAACGCCCAGCATATGCCTTTATTGGAACATTGTTTCTCATCAGGAGATGATCATATAATGTATTGTTTAACGCCTTGAAAGGAAGGAACCAGGCCCCACTTAGCAAGCCATTCTGGGGATGAGCAAACAAGGAAAGATTAAACTTAATACAGAGCCAAGAGATCTGTCTGGTGCTTATCTATAAAGAACAGTAAAGCGTAGTAGTTAAAACATCAGCTCTGAGGTTGGAATTCCCAGATCAAAATCTTGGTACTCCCACTAGTATGTGACCTTGGGGAACCACTTTGACTCTCTTTGAACCAGTTTCTTCCTTTATCAAGCAGGAACACTAGTATCTACTGGGTTGTTGCGAGCATTAAGTGGGACCAACAGTGCCTGTGAGATGCTTCAAGGGAGCCAGCTAATGGCGGGGGCTCACTCTGTGTGTGCTATCTTGGTGCTATGATGTGATATATTAGGCTCTCATGATCTATTGCCATATTACTCACACAGTTAAAGCACCTGTAACATTTGCTTTGTAATTTGGGCAGGACTCTCTCCCTCCCTTCCTCCCTTCCTTTCTTCAACATCTATTTCTTTATCCCAAATGTTATTGACCATGTATCATGAGAGTATCATTCTTTAAGATGAATGGGGTATCGGGAATTCTTGACAAGGAGTTGAGCTGAGGCCAACAAAGTTTGGAAGCTGAACAGACCTAACTTGGAAATAAATGTTCCCTCTCTGCTCTGGTCTAAAAATCTAAATTCCCAAGTACAAGGGCTTATGTGAAATCCTACTTTATGTTGGGTTGGTGGTGACATCCCTGTGGTCCATCTAAAAGGGGAAAAAGGACAGGGCATCTCAGATACGAGGCTCCTGACTTATGGCCATCATGTTAAGTGGCTTACCAAGTCAGAGGAAGTAGAATCCAGTTCTTTCCTAGGGAAGACATGGTTAGCCGTGGACAGAATTTGGGTCTTTTCCAATCGGTTGGGGTATCAGATGCTAATCAGAAACCAACATGGAGATCAGGATCTTAGGACCAGGCACAAAGCCAGTTGTGTGGACTGGAACCACCAGGTAAAAGTAACAGGGAGGCTGCAGCCTGACCCTCACTCAGGCTTATGTGGTGGGCATGGGTCATGGCAGCAGAAGATAGATGTAAGCCTCCATCAATGAGTAAGGCAGTCCTGCTGGACACGACTCAAAATGGCTAAGAACTGAGCATGATTAAGTCTGCAGGGAACTAGATGTTAGAGACCGTTTGTTGGTCAGGGCTGGATCGGAGATAGACTCATAGTCTAGCAGGGCACACAGACCCACACATTATTACGACACAGCATGACACATAATATGAGTTGTATTTGCAAGTCTTGACTCATTTTCTGAAACACAAGTGTTGGTGACCTAATATTAGTGGGAAATTACTCATCACATTTTCTGAGTTGGGAGACTGGTGAAATAGGGTGGAAGGGGGACCCTCACCCTATTACTTCTCTGTGGGTCCTCCAAGGATGCAGAGAAATGGCAGAACCAGGAGCATGGGCTCACCAATTTCCCTTAGACATCCCCATGGTTGACTTATTTCAGGTCTTTTCCTGAATGTCCCACTCAGAGAGGATTCCCTGAACCATCTTCTTTAAAATTGCCACCTCCTACCCTGGTTCCTCCTGTTTCCCTCCTTCATATTATTTTTCTCTAGAACTCTTATCAGTCACCCATTAACTGTATATTTTACTCATTTATTTATTATCTCTTTCCTCCAACTGGAATGTAAGCTCTGTGAAGCCAGGGATTTTCATGTGTTTGGACCCCACTGTAACCCCAGTAACTACAAGAATGCTTACTTAGTAATAGACATTTAATAGATACTTTGTAGACCCCTAGACATATTTCATGAAGTAACAGCATAGAGGGAAATGTAAAAGGAAATAGTATCTTCCATAACATAAGGCTAAGAGTTACAACCCAGGTGAGTGAAGAAAATCTTTGTGAAGACCGTTGACAACACCAAAGTTAAAATTTCTTTTCATCTCATAGAATCAGATGATAAAAGAAGGAACTCTGTCATGGGGAAGATAAAACAGATCGTAGTCAAATCTTTCCTTTTGGGGACCAGCTTCAAGTTCATTAACCAGCTCATTGAAGCTCTTTGCTTTATGTTGGCCCTTTTTGACACACATCTGCATAAATAAAGCATCTGCAGGTCCAGAGGCTTCCTTTCTGAGAAAGACAGTTCATTTGATTTATAGTTAAGGCTGGGGAAAGGATTCTTCCATAGTTTGTATCCAGTTATTTTCTCCTGGTGAAGGATGGTCTGCAAAATTTCCTTCACAGGTAGAGTAAATCACGTATGCACTCAGCACCATTGTTGATAATTAGTAAAAGCTCGATATTTAGCAGGAAGGAGTTGTCCGTGTGCTTCTGGAGATAGGCCACGTCTGTGAGGGTGCTGACTTTCACTGGAAGACCATAAACATGTCAACATCAATATATGATATCTTAAATGAACTGATCTTATTATTAGCAGGCAAATATAGGTTGCATATGTTAAAGAAAGGAAGGCTCATTGCTAGTCTCTTCTGCACTCCCCTAAGGAAGCTGAATATAGGTTATAGCATGGAGGAGGTCTCTTTTGGGAGTAACAAAATAGCCAGGCTTGTTGGTAATTGCTGTTTTATGCTTGTACTTTTTTTTTCCTTCCCATGTTCCTTACACCCTTTTGGCCATTTTTTCCCCTGGAAATTCTCTCTTTAAACTTACCCCTGCAGGTAGGGATTTTTATAACACAAACATTCTTTTTTGCTTAAAAATAAAATGACAACACTGCCTTCCGCAGATTATGCCTATAAAGACCCATCTTCAAGAAAGGTGCATCAGACTGAGCTATGGTTGATTTATTTTAGGATGTGCGCGTATGTATCAATCTGTGAGGCTATTTTTTTGGATAACATTCTTAAGAATTTGAATTTGTATAGCACTTCCAATTTTCCGTGAACATCTGTTAGAGTCTACCTTTTATGTCTGGGACACGGGATTTCTAGAATGCATAAAAATAGGCATTGGATTTTCTAGCACATTGCATGGTTTCTAATGTCTTGTCTCTTCTTTCCTCCCTCTCTTCTCTCCCTGCACCCCACTCCTACAGGGCTGATAGTCTACCTAGGAATGATGGCCGGGGCCTTTGTCCTGGGGGGCCTGGCTGATAAGCTGGGGAGGAAGAGAGTCCTCACCATGTCTCTGGCCCTGAACGCCTCCTTCGCCTCTCTTTCCTCCTTCGTGCAGGGATACGGAGCCTTCCTCTTCTGCCGACTCCTCTCAGGCATAGGGTACGTACATGTAGGGCTTTACTGGACCCTGGCATGCCAGGGTTCCATGCACCCTGCTACTCGAGCTCTCAGTGGTACTTCCAGAAAACCTTGGACTAAGTTTTGTGTTTGACTTCAAAGATATTATGTCAAGGTTAAACCTTAGAAAAAGGTTGTAAAGTCAGTGTTTAAGGTCAAATAAACCTGACCCTGCCTTGGACAGTCTTTCAAATTCACAAGGGTGGGGTATAAGGCAATGAGGCTTCTGCTATGACCATTTTTAGCATATGACTCGATTCTTTCTTTTTGGCATTTTCTTTATGCAGGATTGGGGGTGCCCTGCCCATTGTTTTTGCCTATTTTTCTGAATTCTTATCTCGGGAGAAGCGAGGAGAACACCTTAGTTGGCTGGGCATCTTCTGGATGACGGGGGGTATCTACGCATCTGCCATGGCCTGGACCATCATTCCACACTATGGTAAGTGCCCAGCCTTTGCATAGCCCAGGGGCCCATGTTACTATGGTACCTGCCTCCAACAACATCTCCTGTCCTTAGCATCATTCCCCATATTCACACATGGTTCCTTTATATGACTTTGATCTTTCTATGGAACTTCCAAACCTGGAGACACCTCACTAATTCAATACACACATCTCTCTGGAAATAATACAATCTGTTCTTCCTCCCTCCCTCTCCATTCCTTTCTTCTTTTCTTCTTTTTTTTTTTTAAGATTTTATTTATTTATTTGACAGAGGTCACAAGTAGGCAGAGAGGCAGGCAGAGAGAGAGAAAGAAGAGGAAGCAGGCTCCCTGCTGAGCAGAGAGCCCGATGTGGGGCTCGATCCCAGGACCCTGGGATCATGACCCGAGCCAAAGGCGGAGGCTTTAACCCACTGAGCCACCCAGGCCCTCATCTTCTTTTCTTCCTTTTATTTGAAAGAATGTTGATCTATAGCTCCCCAGCCCTCCTCCCCCAGGCAAGTTAGGCAGTTAGGCTTCAGGGACCCCATCTAATAGATGATGTAACAGAAGCCAAGAGATGTTAATGACTTCGTCAAGGTCACGTCCCTGGCATGACCTTGGATTTTGATGCTCTGCCTGCCTCCTGCCCCCATGCAGAGCTCTTGTGTACTTTCCACTCTAGTGCCTGCTGTCACTCTTGTTTGGCCACAGAAGTGGAGGGACCCTTACAGACAAGGTCTTGGATTCAGCCGGGACAATTTTATTATCCTGGGTAATTGCAAAAACCGGATTTTCTGGACAGAGACCTGGCAATGCTTACTTTCACAATTGGTTTTGTTAAGAGTAAAGTAGGGAGAAGGCAGCAGTTTTGAATTTGATTATTATGTCTTTTGAGCATCCTGGGCAATAAATGCACATTAGCATCCTTCAAAGTTTTTTTTGATAAACTAACAATCCTGGGTGTAGGCTTTGTTCTCATTTAGAATCCTGCAGACAACCGCCCTGAAGCTAACCAGTGCTTCTCTATGCGTGGAACTCCTTGCTGTCCTTGTTTGAAATCTTATCGTCTTTGTGTATTCTGAGGTGATGGAGTCTCCATCACCTTTAAGAAGAAGCTTTGGTGTAGACAATGCTTACTCTAGTAGTTAATGTGACCCTGGGTGCATTATGCTGGTAATCTGACAAACCCTGAAATCTCAGTGATTTAACACAATAAAAGTTTCCCCACTTGTAAAGTAGGGCGAATGTTTTGATCTGCAGGTGGCTTTCCTCCATCAGTAATATTGGGGCTCAGACTTCTTCCTCCATGTGACTAAAGTCTCTGCTTGGAGAAAGACCGTAGGCAGTTGTACATGGGAGGTTCTGAAGAACAGACTGCCAAGTCTGTCCTCTCTACTTACAACCCACGGGCCCCAAATCTGTAATATGATCACCCCTACTGCCAAGGACCCTTGGCCATGTAGTCTTGCTGTGTGCGAGAAAGTAGAGGAAATGGATTTGGGAAAAGTAATATTTGCCCTATCTAGTCTTTGAGAACCCACTGGGTTTTGTACAAGTAACAGAGAGGAAATAAGAATAGGAATAATGAAATAAACAGCTGAAGCATTTTCCAGATAATCCTGTCACCAAAAGCAGTTCTCCATCATTTTAGATACAAAATCATATTACCCTTAACTAACATCATTTCTGCACTCTGCCCTTCCCCCGAAGGCACACTTTACACACACAGTACACTGCATGCATTGCGCTGTTGGTTATATGGGTCAGAGGAATCGCTTATCCTCCCCTGATTCTTGCTATATTATTTACAACTGTTAACTGGCCCCAATGAGTGAGTGCTAAGAAACTACTTCCACATTTAAATTAAGTGAGTAAAAAAATATTTTGGGGGGGGGTGTGGGCGACAAATAAAATCTTAATAAAAGCGGAGTCAAAATAGCAGTGCTGTGTGACTGGGGACAAGTCGCTGCATCTTGTCTGGCGTGAAGAGGGAAGGAAGCAAAATGTAGAGCTCATGCCAGCCGTCATGCTCGGTAATTCCTGGGATGCAAAGGGGAGTGTTGAGAATACGTTTAAAACAATTCTGGCACTCGAGCTAGCTTCCTTTCCTGCAGCATCAACAATGTCAGCGACCTATTTGTAGACTGCTTGCTCCCCAAGAGAAGCCTGCCCTCATGCGGGACCAGGGAGATGCTCACTGGCTCAGCTTAGGTCATATGCCCATCCTCAGCTACACCCCAGAGGATGCTGGGTCCAGATTGGTTTGGTGTCTGGGTACTTCCTTCCTCAAATCCCGCACGGATTGGGATGGGGGAGGTCTGTCCCACCCAGGCCACATGTCTGCCAGATGGTGGAGGCCACAAGGTGCCAGGTGTTATGACAGGGGCCACTCACAATAGTCACTACCTGCTGCATCAACTTTTCACTTTGCTTTGCACACACAAACACACACCCATGTCTGGGGTATGGTTACTAAGAAAGCGATACAAAGAATCAGGTTGGAAGCGTGTTGGCCAAGACTGAATGGGATGCCCGTGGTAGAGGGGCCACGTGGCTGGTCGCTGGTCGCTGCTGGCTGACATCAGGGCTTGTGATTCAGTATTTTACCCCAAAGAGATAGGATGTTTCTCCTGTTTGCGTATGAAATCTGTGACTTTTTTGTACCTCCCCCCTTTTTAAAAAAGGTTTATTTGTTTATTTATCTGACAGAGAGCACAAGCAGGCAGAAAGGCAGGCAGAGAGAGAGGGGGGAGCAGTCTCCCCGCCAAGCAGAGAGCCCAATGAGGGGCTCAATCCCAGGACCTTGGGATCATGACCTGAGCCGAAGGCAGAGACTTTAACCCACTGAGCCACCCAGGCGCCCCTTTTATGTCCCTTTTAAAGAGTGAAGGCTCTTGGGCAATTAGGCTTCGTTGAAACAAGCACTAGCTGGGCAGGGAAGGGGGACCCACTCGAGAAACATGATAGACTAGAATCACAGTGTAACAGGAGTGATTATTTACTTAAAGCCTCATTTTACCAGGACCAGATGTTTTGTCCATACTGAACCAGACATTTGATAATATTTCTCAATGTGCCCAAGACATTAATGCTCTAACACCCCTCCACTCAGCAGGGACAAATGCCAGGGTAACTACAGAAAGGAGACTAGTGTTTGTGTACAGCTTATGCAACCCATTTAATTGCTTTTGCAGGGATGAAATGATGGGAGGTCTTGGCACCGGGAATTTGGGTGACTGAGTCATTGAGAAAGAAAATTACAAAAGTCAGAACGTTTTCCTGGGAACTCATGGTCACAGCCCAGAAAAAAATTGGATATATTATGGAAGATTAATGCCTATTGTGTTCAGCACCACCAGCTGTTTGTGAAATCCTGACAGAGAAAAGTAGGACAAGCTAAAATATCAGTGAACAGAGCCATCCCTGTCTCCAAATTAATAGTTGTCCCATATATTTGGAAGCAGTGCACTGTTTAATTTTATTTAATTTAAGGTCCCAAAGACTATCTCATGAATGCAATAAATGCAGATTATTAAGATCACCATAAAAACCGCAGAGGCATGAGGGAATAATGTATTTGGGATAATTTACACACATTACCATAAAGAAAAATTTGTCTTAGGCAGCATACTTTATAAACATACCCACTTCTTCTCTCCTTTCCTCATCATCCACCTGAGTTTGACTGCTATGTAGTTTTGATCAACTTGACTTCTAATTCTTCCACAGTAGCTTTTGGACATGAGCAGGGAAATGTGTAAATAGTACTATGGTTTTATCTTCCCTGTCTAGTGCTGCTGTCAGGAGAAAGGAAAGGTTTTTTTTTTTTTTTTCCATTCAAATGAAAACCAACAAGCCCCAGGGAGAGCATGCTGTGCAAAAATAGGTTTGATTCTGGTTGAGAAAGTTGGATGATGTGTGTATCGTGTGGCCAGATGTGTCACGGTGGCTTCAGTCCCACGTTTTCCTACCCGAGACTCCCCGTGGCGAGCCCTTGAGTTGCACAGACTAGGAGATACCAGCAGAAACAGCTGGCAAGCAGGGCAAGTTGAAATGCAATGAGTTAAGAGGCAAAGGCAAGTAGAGGAACTTAAAACACAAAGAGAGGAACAGAGGGTTCCAGACATTCACTGCTCACCACCCAGCCGGCCCCGAGGTATATGTCCACATCTAGACATACCCCATTTTATTGTGCTTCGCAGATAGTAACTGGAATAGAGATTTTCATGTCGCAATAATGATTACCCTCTGAACTTTAGAAATCGATGCATTCATTTATACAGTTTTGTCTTAAAAAAAATGCTGTTGGCATTGTCTTTGGAGCTACTTGGAGTGGCATGAGAAAACCAAGTCATTGTATAACCTGGGATCATTTGATCATTTATTTGTTTATTTTTAAAAGATTTTATTTTATTACTTTTTAAATTAACATATAATGTATTATTAGCCCCAGGGGTACAGGTCTGTGAGTCGCCAGGTTTACACACTTCACAGCACTTACCATCCCACATACCTTCCCCAATGTCCATAACCCCGCCACCCTTTCCCTATCCCCCTCCCCCTGGCAACCCTCAGTTTGTTTTGTGAGATTAAGATTCTCTTATGGTTTGTCTCCCTCCTGATTCCATCTTGTTTCATTTATTCTTAAAAGATTTTATTTTTATTGATTGATTGATTGATTGATTTAGAGAGTATGAGTGGGGGGAGGGGCAAAAGGAGAAGAAGAGAGAATCTCAAACAGACTCCCCACTGTGGAGCCCCATGTGGGACTCGACCTCACGACCCTGAGATCATGACCTGAGCCAAAATCAAGAGTCGGATGTGCCACTGACTGAGCCACCCAGGCATTCCATAACCTTGGATTTTTTTTTAAACAATTATTTTGTTGCTGATACTCATCTATTTTAGTCAATAACTTTGGCACTGAATATCATGTAGCTGTTTCTAAGCAAGTAAAATCTACCCTCAAAGCAGAGGAATTATTACTGGCTGTCAGAAGGTTTTGCACTTAGCAAATCTGTGATGGTGGTGTTATCTGCCGTCTATAGCTGTGAAAACCCCCAACACAGGGAGCCAGGATTTGTACTCTGATCCCCGTGACTGTGAAAATCGAGGCTCTTTCCGCGGTGCTACCCATTCCTTAAAAGAGGGAATTTGTGACCCATGAGGATATTTGAAATAGTGTTTTGCAGATCCAGAGGCAATTTCTAAAAATGTATTTTAGAAATGCTTTCAAGAGGTAGCCTAGGTGGCTCAGTCAGTTAAGCATCTGCCTTCTATTCAGGTCATAATCCCAGGGTCCTGGGGTCGAGTCCTGCATTGGGCTCCCTGCTCAGCAGAGAATCTGACTCTCTCTCTCCCTCTGTCTTTCCACCACACGTCCCCTGCCACTTAGGCTTGCTTTCTCTTACACTCTGTCTCTCTCAAATAAATAAAATATCAAAAAAAAAAAAAGGTTTCAATGATGAATTCTAATTAGGAGCTAATCCTATCTTCATTTCCATGATGATAGAATTCATTTGAATTTAGAAGCCCTGTCTTTTTAAAATAAAAAAAAAATTAATGTAGGCATACCTTGGAGATATGATGGGTTTGGCTTCAGATTACTGCAATAAAGCAACTATCAGATGAATTATTTGTTTTCCCAGTGCATCTAAAAGTTATGTTTATACCAAACTGGAGTCTAGTAAGTGTGCAATAACATTACATCTAAAAAAATGTACACACCTTAATTAAAAAAATACTTTACTGCTAAAAAATGCTAACCATCATCTGAGCCTTTGGTAAGTAGTAATCACTGATCACAGATCACCATAACAAATGCAATAATGCAAAAGTCTGAAATATTTTGAAAATTACCAAAATGTAACAGGCGTAAAGTAAGTGAACGCTGATGGAAAAATGACGCCAGTGGACTTGCTTGACCCAGGGTTGCCACAAACCTTCAATTTGTAAAACCTGCAAAATCTGCAAAGCACAGTAAATTGAGGTATGCCTATATTATGACTGATAGCGCTTTTCAGAGTGTGGTCTCGAGCCCTTGGCATTAGAATCACCTGGAGCTGGTATTGCCCTTTCACGTGGGAAGGGGGAACCCCACGGTCCTAAGGCCCTGATCTGGCTTTCCTTCCTAGAAGGCAAGAGGTCCCTGAGGTACGATCACCTCAGGGTTCCTTTCCATCCAAATCATGCTCTGGGTATTCAGAACCCAAGAATTCCGCTAAACTCTAGGAATCGTGACCAGGACACCTATTCTCACTGCGGTGGAGTGTGATGGGTTCACCTGTATGAGCACGAGGCCCCTCACTTGGAGGAAGGGGCCAGGAGAAGAAATGAAAGGGGTCTCGAAAGGATAGGTCACGACCTGGCCTTCCAGATCCTTATTTGTCAAGGCAAGGGGATAGAACATTCGTTATGGACAGTTTGTTAGCTTGAGTTTCAGTGGCTATAGAGAAATAGGGGACGCCGCCCAAGGCCCTATAAATGTCAGGCCTGGTCAGCCCTGGGGGTTGTTGAGATGCACATTCCCATGCCTGTTCCAGACTTCTGCCTCAGAAGCTTTGGGAACAGTCAGAGGTTTGCATTTTAACCTGCTCCGTGGGTGAGGCTCTGTGCCCTCCTTTGAGAGCTGGTGTTTTAAGGTCACTGTAAGGTCATGTCAGAAATCCTCTGACTGTTCTCCACAGGCTGGGGCTTCAGCATGGGCACCAATTACCACTACCACAGCTGGAGAGTGTTTGTCATCATCTGTGCAATGCCCTGCACTGTGTCCCTGGTGGCTCTGAAGTTCATGCCAGAGAGCCCGAGGTTCCTGCTGGAGGTGAGTCAGTAACCCCCATCCCCACCCTGTGTGAGACCGATAGCCCTTCGGCTGCCCCCGACTCCAGCTTGCATGTTGCACACCATCCCCACGTCAGCCCGCCTGGACCATTGTTACTTCTGGCTTTAGTGCCGTCTGTGATGGCTGCACAGCCTGGGTTCATAGACTGTCAGAGGCGGAGGGGGCCTCCTGAGGCTGCTGCCAGCACCCCCTTTCTCCAGAAGATCTTCAAAGCTGTGGGATGTTTTCTCAAGTTGCTACAGTGAGATCTGTGGGAAAATGTGCGTCGCCCCAAGCCCATCAGGACTCTTGACTATCCTGGACCCCTCCCCACTGGAAAGCTGCTCCTGGTGTCTTGAGAGAAGAGACCTTCCAACCTAGGGGGCCGCTTGTGTTTGCAGAGGAGCCGTAGGACTCAAAGGCTCCTACACCTCCAATTCCAAGTCCACTCATATGTCTCCTTCTAGATCTTTCTACAGAGTGATCGTCTTTGTCAAATTCCCTTGTGTCCCATTGTCAGGAACAGACACCACAGGGAGTTTTTCTTTAACCAGGGATCTCTCACGAACTTACCCTTTGTGGTGTGTGAGTTTTCTAGGGCTGCTGAGACAAAGGACTTTGTTACCAACAGAGTGGCTTCAAGGAACAGAAATCGCATCACAGTTCTGGAGGCTGGATGTCCAAAATCAGGGTGTCCGCAGGGCTGCATTCCCTTGGAAGTCTGTAGGGGAGTCCTCCCTTGCCCCTTCCAGCTTCCAGTGCTTTGTTGGGACTCACTTGGCTTCCTTTCTGTGTCATCTCATGCACTGGCCTGCCATGTCTCTGTATTCACATGCTGGCTTCATATAAGGACACTAGTCAAACTAGGTTAGAGGCCCACCCCACTCTGGGATGACCTCATCTTAATGACATCTATGGCAACCCTGTTTCTAAACAGGGTCCTATTCTGAGGTCTCTGGGGCTGTGGGGACACAATCCATAACAGGTTGTTTCTTTGCTTTCTCTGGTCAGGGAGGCACGTGGATCCCACCCAGCAGTCACTGGACCTTACAACAAGGCGTGTTGTACTGTGGAATGGGAATAGTGTGTATACAGCTCAGAGGCATTCCCTTAGTATCCTTCCAAGATGGGCTGGGGACAGAGACTTGTCCCAATCCTTCCCAAGCCCTGGGTGGCAGTGTGTCCAAGTCTAATCAACTCACGCTTAGGGTTGGACGCCCCCCTGTAGGGTTTCCACCCCTTGTCAGTAAAGGATTTCTCATGCCTCTTTCCTTGATTTTACCAGATGGGCAAACATGATGAAGCCTGGATGATTCTCAAGCGTGTCCACGACACCAACATGAGGGCAAAAGGGACCCCCGAGAAGGTGTTCACGGTGAGTGTGTGGCACCCATGCCAACCGGAGAGGGTCTCCCCTCTTTACTCTTTTGGCTTGCTAAAAAATGAATCTTATTATATTATTGTGATACTATATTAATTTGACAAAGAGAACCTATCAAAGGGGGAATAAAACCCCTGACGTTCTTATTATTGTGTCCTAATTATTTGTTCAGGTTGATAGATATCCTGTTCTCACTAATTGTTCAAAAAAAAAAAACACACTGAAAGAAAAAGCTAGCTGTGTTTTTATAGGGATAAGGATATGTACATATATTTACATCTATCTATCTATCTATCTTAGAGGGAGAGGGAGAGAGAGAGAATCTTAAGCAGGCTCCATGCTTAGCACATGGGCTTGATCCTACGACCCTGTGATCCTGACCTGAGCCAAAATCAAGACCCATTTGCTTAACCAACTGAGCCAGCCAGACACCCCTCCATCTACTTTTTAAAAAGAGTATTCATTCACATTCTGTAGGTTGTCTCGTGGCATTCATAATTATCTTTTTAACCAATGTTAATGTTGGGAATGTTAACACAGTCTTTCTAAACACGTCCCGAATGCTGGAAATTTATTTACCCCGTCTTATTACCTTGTTCCTGTAAATATTGTCACAGTGAACATTTTCACATACATAGTTCCTTTCCCTTCATGTTCTCGATTTGTTTTCCAAGACAGACTCCTAGAAGTAAAATGAGTGGCTAAAAAGCACTATTATTTGTATAGCTTTTGAGTTATATTGCCAGATTACATGATTACATCTCAATAAGGTTGTGTCCGTCTACTGTGCCACAGGCAACGGGATAGCCATTTTTCTCCTCCATCCTTACCAGCATTGGCGCTTAGCCTGAATTTTGTTTTTTCCTAGTTTAAATAGTGAAAAACTAGCGGTGATTTCCATGGAGATGTCCTGTTAGGTACCTGGATCTGTGCTCCCCTGACCACGTTCTATAGCCAAGGAGGAATGCCTGCTCTGGTGGGTGCCTGTTTTGGACAACTTTCCTTCAGGCTGACTTCAAATCCATTTCCACTAGGAAGCCCTCCTGGGTTAACCTTGACTCTTACTCTGATTCACTGCTTTTGCAGCTTTGGCCTCTGCCATTGACTCTGGACAGCATACTCCTCCTTATTCACTGCTGCTTAGAAGCCCTGGTTCTCAGGCAGGACTACGTGGCAGGACCACGTAGCTAAGCATCTGCATCCTGGAGCCTGACAGTCTGGGCCTAAATCCCAGTTTTGATACTTTCTAGCTGTGTGGCCTTAGGCCGGGTACTCCCTTTGCCTCCGTTTCTCTATTGGGAACAGAAGGGTAATAATATCTTCAAGTATGGTTCCGGTAAGGATTCAGTTTTCTGCCTTGAAGCAGGGGCTGCATAGATGTTAACTATCATTCAAAAACATTATGACACAAGGGTGCCTGGGTGGCTCAGTCAGTTAAGCATCTGCCTTTGGCTCAGGTTGTAATCTGAGGGTCCTGGGGTTGAGACCCACATCGGGCTTCCTGCTCAGTGGACAGTCAGCCTCTCCCTCCCTCTGCTGCTCCCTCTGCTTGTGCTCTCTCTCTCTCTCTGTGTCAAATAAATACATAAAATATTCTTTAAAATTACATGACATATTTTTTCTTAAATTAACTCAAGCAAATAAATTTTGTTGCTCTTCAATGGCCTACTTCCCTCAATTCCATGCTCCTAAAAATATCTAAAATATGGGACCAGTGCTTTTATCACAAACATTTACTAAGAAGCATAACTAACAGAAATAGTCGTGATGAAAGATGTTAATTAAGGATGTAGATGGTTCTCCCCAGTCCCCTCTCCCCACTGCTGTCTGTGGTGGGTTATAAGGCTGCAGCTGGACTGCAGGTGTGGACACCAGATGTTAGCGGGTCTCCCCCGCCCAGGACCTGGGTGCACTTGGCTCAGTCTTGCCCCACCCACCGTCTCATCAGACTGCTCTCCGAGCTCCTGCTTATTCCCGAGAGATGTCTGCATGGTCTTCTGTCTCTGCCTCAAGCCTCTGAATCCACATCAGCTGGATTGGATTGTGTGTCACATCAACGTGGTGTGAAACACACACACAGACACAAAGATGCATACACACACACTCACAGACACATACATCATACAGACACAGACACATGTATATAGACACACACATGTACACACACATCACACACAAAACACATATCACACACGTACACATGTATAGAGACATACACATGCGCATAGACACACACACCATACAGACACATAGAGACATAAACATACATACAAACACAGACACACGTATACAGACATATACACGTGCATAGACACACACACATACAGACATACACACACAGACACATGTAGACAGACATACACATGTGCTCAGACACACAGACACACACATCATACCGACACACAGACACCTGTATACAGACATACACATGCACATAGACACAGAAACATGAACACATGCATATACACACACATATGATACAGACACAAGGAGACAAACGCAAACATACAGACACACACATACAGATACACAGACACGTGTACACAGACCTACACATGTGCACACACACATCATACAGACACATAGAGCCATAAACACATGCAGACACGTAGACACACACATACAGACACATGTATACAGACCTACACATGCACACACAGATACACACACACCATACAGACACATAGACACATAAATGCACACACACAGACACACACATCATACAGACACACAGACATATGTATACAGACATACACATGTGCACAGACACACAGAGACATAAACACACACATATGTACACAGACACACATCATGCAGACACATAGAGATATAAACACACACATACAGATACACATCATACATATAGACAGACACATAAACACATATATACACACATATCATATATACAGACGGACACATGTATACAGATATACACATGTGCACAGACACACAGAAACACAAACACACCTCACTCATACCAAGTATTTGCCAGTTTAATAACCTCCATGATAATTCGAGAAACTTCCTCTCTGTCCCATCCTCCCTCTTTTCCTCCTCCTTTTTTGCCTTCCCTTTCTTTCCCCTGTTCTCCCTCTGGAATATGGCAAATTCTCCTTGGCTCACGCAAGGCTCACACACTGGTCCTCCCTGGCATTCCCTGACCCGTCAGGCAGTCTGTTAGTGTATTTATTCCAAGCAAACCCACTGCTCTGCTGAGAGAGTCCTGATGGGTGACAGCTCTGCCCCTCATTTGTACGCCTGTCCCTGCCTGCCCAGGAGACTAACCTCTTTCTGGTCTTCGTCTTACCCTGGTGGCCTGTGTAGCATCTCATACCCAGTGGTTTCCGTGACTCTTGCTTCTGGAAGGACCACTTCTAAATCAACCTTGTGAGCTTGCCAGACTGGGAGTCCCTTTTAGAGAAGTGATCCCACATTCACTCCTCACAACGGGTTTATCCTTAAGCAGCCTAATTTTGAAGAATGAGATCTTGGCAAGGAAATCAACAGAGCCTCCAGTTTCCAAAGGCAGAAGCTAAGCCTCTCGCTTGAGCACCAGAGCCCGTCCCCTCCGGGATGGCCACGCATCCCCAGGAAGTCAGAGATTCCAGATCCCAGAGCTGGAATGTGAACCGTGGGTGGGCACTCTCTCTTACCCCACCCTGCGGGCTAGCCGGGCGTCCTCACCTCTGCTTTTAGTAGTTTTCAACTCATGCGAAGGAGAATCAGAACGGTTGTGGCTTCAGCATTCCCTGCTGACTTGGTGATCATATTAATTGGCTAGAAGTGGATGACTGGTCGGGCCAGGGGTGAGAAAAGAAAGAAACAACTGGAAAATGTTGAAAGGTTAGAGAGCAGAAGCAATCAGGAGTGAACTCCTTCCTGACGGGGTTAACTGCTTGGCTCCAGAGTGCTCCCCGCAGCAAATAATGCACTTTTTTTTTTTTTTTTAAGATTCTAATTATTTATTTGACAGAGAGGTCACCATAGGCAGAGAGGCAGGCAGAGAGAGAGGGAAGCAGTCTCCCCACTGAGCAGAGAGCCCGATGCGGGGCTCGATCCCAGGACCCTGAGATCATGACCCGAGCCGAAGGCAGAGGCTTAACCCACTGAGCAACCCAGGAGCCTCAAATAATGCACTTTTGATTGTACTTGGAAATCAACAAAGGCTAGGGTCCTCACCTTCACCTTTGTGCTGCTGGGGTTCAGGACGCCTACCCTGAAATATGGGCACCTTGGCATACTGAATATCTTAAGCGAAGGAGTTTGAGAAAGTGCCAGAAGTAGGAAGATCACTCTGACCTTTCCCACTCACCCTTCTTAGGTCATAGATCTCCTGTGTGAAGTGACTGTCCCTGTACCAGGAGGAAAGAAGACGTTCTTATCACCAGAGATCGGGGCAGGGTCAATGAGGCTGCATCAGCAAACCTTGTTACATCAATTCTTTCTTCCTAGTTACTTCTTCACCATTTACTACCCTAAGCCCACATCCCTTTGTCATGTTAATTCCTCACAAACTCATTGTTTCGTGGCCTCAAAGGTACAAGAGTTTTCTGCTCTGGTCACATCTTCAGGCTTTCATTTTCTTTGGAAGCCTCCCTTGTCTGTGTTAAAGTTCGATAAAATGTGTAGGCTTTTCTCCTGTTGATCTGTGTTTGTCAGTTAAATTTTCAGACGCAGCCTGAGATGCTTAGAGGAGCTGGGCAGACTTCTTCCTCCCCTCTGAAGCCCTAGGTTTCAGCCATCCCATTGGCTGGCTTCCTCACAGGCTTCTGATCTGCCACCTGGCAGGTGTCCCCAGTAAAACGTTCTGCAGGTCTGGTGTGAACACAGACCATATTTTGATATAGACCCCATCAAAAACAGTATCTTACTTAATTGTAATTTAGAGTAATTTTGCTTGAGGCCAGCCTGTCCATTCACCCACTCCCAAATCCCTAGGGAATAGAACTCCCCCCCCCCCCCCCAGGAGCGCCAAAAGGAAAAACTTTGCAATTGAGTGGATATCTTAATGCTTTTGAATATGATTTTTGACATGCTTCCTGATTTGATGTCATCCTTGTCCTATGGCCTCTTTTGACTGCAATGAGGGCTCCTGGGCTCCCTGGGGGTATTTGACAGCAGGAAGTCCAGCTCCATTTGACAGCAGGAAGTCCAGCTCCAACAAAGAGTTCTGTTTCAGAGCCTATGTGTTCACTCCCCTGCGTCCTTGTCAGAGCCCAGGCAGAGAGATTTGTGGAGGAGGCACACCTGCGGAGGAGGGTAGGACGGGCCTAGGAGGCTCTCAGGATGCTCTCGTACCTCCAGTTTCAGGAAGAACATGGATGCTTTTATCAGACTCTCAAAGGGGCCACCCAGCCCTCCCCAAAGTTTAAGAATTACTGTTTTTAGGGTTTAGAAGAGCACAGCCATGCCATCCTAGACCTCATGCTCAGAGTTAATGAGTCTGTTGTCCACACCCAAGGGCTGTTTTTTCCCTTGTGCATTGCCAGCCTTATCTGTGTATCTCTTTTTGTTTCCCCCATTTCCTTCCTTCTCAGATGGCAGAAAAAAGTGATGGAGATGCTTGTAGGACTAAAACTTTTTTTCCCTAGACAATAGTTCATTGTAAGGGGTGATGGCAATTCTGATTTTTTTTTGAGTGTGCTCCCCCATTTTCCTCTGAATAAGTCTGCAAGCATGGACCTTGCTAACTTGGCTAACCATCTCCTTAACATGATGGTTGGTTATAGAATCCAGTGGTTGCTTTAAACACTAGGTAACTTGACAATCACTGTCTTGGTGAGTCAGGATTGCAAATTGGGGCTATCTGCTGACACTGGACAAATCAATGCTTTCTGGGGCCCTTTAGTGGGGGAGCTGAGTTGTATAACCCTATCCCCACTCCCCATTTATTTGATTTCCATTAGAAAAGCCAGAGACAGCAAGGAGAACATGATTTCTCCTATTCTGGTGTGTTTTTAAAAATATCTTAAGTAGTAGAGAACCTGGGTGGCTCAGTGGGTAAAGTGGCTGACTCTTGATTTCGACTCAGGTCACAATCTCAGGGTCCTGGGATTGAGCCCTGCTTCAAGCTCCATGCTCAGAGGGGAGTCCGCGTGAGGATTCTCTCTCTGCCCCTCTCCCTGCTTGTGTGTATGCTCTCTCTCCCTCACTCTCTCTCTAAAATATATAAATCTTTACAAAAAAATCTTAAGTAGCAACCTCCTCCCCCAAAACACACACACCATTGCTTGCATGGGTTCTAGACTTCTGTGATATTGTTAATACCTATTAGGGACAGACTTGTGAATTTTAAGGTGGGGTCAGCTCTACTGTGGGCAAATCAGATATACATGGTAATTCAGCATATTATCACTGACAAATATAAATTTCTCAAAAGCATCATCTAGTCAAAAGATGGATTCATCTTGTCTACAGGGGGATATATCTCCCTGAGAAAGATTCCCTAAGAGAGGCCATGTACATCTTTGGTTAAGAATCACAGGACTAGAGGATCATCCAAGGCTCCTGTAGCCTTTGATATGTGACATAAAATTAGTTACATTAATTAAACACTGAAAAGTCTGATACAGAGTGGGGTTACGATTCTCGAGACCATCTTTGCTTTGCAGGTTTCCCACATCAAAACTCCCAAGCAAATGGATGAATTCATTGAGATCCAAAGTTCAACAGGAACTTGGTACCAGCGCTGGCTGGTCAGGTTCAGCACCACTTTCAAGCAGGTATGATTGGGAACATGTGGGGGATGAGAGGGAGGACATCTGGAACCCTGTAACTTCGGTGGATGAAGGATAAAGACCATGAACACCCCCATCAACCCAAGGCAGTGTGATGGGGAAGGAAGTGCCCTGGATGGAACGCTTGGGACACAGTTGTGCCTGTTCCTCACCCACCATGTTGCTTGAGCCAATGTCACCATGACTTATCTAAACCTTAGTTTCTTTTCTTTGCTCTTCCTTCCCAAGGCAGAGATTTTGAACACTGGTGAAATGTCTACTGTTAGTAAACACCCTTCTCTCCAGCATCTTCTCTTTATGTAATCTGTAGGAAGAAAGGAATGAGTGAAGTAGATGGCCCTTTGGGGTGTGTTGGTGGCTTTTGAGAAAGTATCCAGGAAGGGCAAGGCCATTTCTCTGGAGAAGGGCCTCCTGTAGCCAACTCAGCTGTCAAGCACCGAGGCAGCCGATGAATGGTTGAATGGTTGTTAAGTGTTGAGAATATCACCCATTCCCATGGGCAAGGAGTAGAGCTCACTACTCAAGGTTACCCAGTGTCTTGAAATCCCAACTCATTGTGCTTTTGATGATGTATGATTGTGTTCCCAGGGAAGATGCTCCAGGACTGTTATGTTAGAGGCAGAGGCCAAGCAGTAAGAAGAGAAGAGGCTTTGTTATTTGAACAGATTTGCTTTCTCTGGAAGATCATGGTTGTCCATTCTCTCATGGGGTCCTAGGAAATTTATCAGAAAATCCTAGAAATGAGCTCTTTCAAGTCACAAGCCTGATTTAATAACCCTTCTGTGTGTGGGTTACAGGTCTGGGATAATGCCCTCTACTGTGTGATGGGGCCCTACAGGATGAACACGCTAATTCTGGCTGTGGTCTGGTTCACCATGGCTTTAAGGTAAACTCTATCATAACCTCTTTAACTTCCCTAAGCCTCCAGTGCCTCCTCTATAAAGCAAAGATCACAATTAGTTCTAACTCTTAGAATCTAGATGCTTTTGGCTGCAAGTAAAAGACAGCCCACTCTCATGGCTTCTACAACAAGGATGCTTTTTGTCCTTTGTAACAAGAATCCCATAGAGAGGCAATCTTCACGAGTGGTTTCAGTCCCAGGCTCCATCTCCTGGCGGCTGCTAGATGCCTGTGCACTTCTTGGCATCCTGTCAACGTGGGAAAATGTCCCGAGGAGGAAGAGGCTGCCTCTCTCTGAGTTTCTCCTTGTAACAGCAAGGAAGACCTTCTCAGGAGCTCCCCCCGCACAAACCCTGCAGCCTTTCTCTCTATTACCCAGATGTGTGTGTCACACCCCTAGTGCCAAACTACCTGGTGAAGGGGATGGGATTTCCCAGTGATTGCAGACTAATCAGGGTTTGTGTGTGGGCTAAAGATATTGTTAGCTTTCCTGAGGGCTGATACCCAAACAAAATCTAGTTTCCAAGGAACGAGTAGGGAGCAAGTGCTGAGTGGGCAGCTGTCAGTGGCATTGTGACTATGGGATAAAACAGTGAGACTCTGTGGCACTATGCCCTACGATAAGGAAAATAGAGTGTGATGGGAATGATGATCTCTTAAGTGGTAGAAGAGTCATTTCATGCACCTCCAAATATCATGACTCTCTTTATGCCACTTAAGCCACTGAAAGCATTATGAGACTATATACTGTATAAAGGAAGTGCTTGCATTAATTTCTGGCACTAAGTAAGTACTCAATTAATTGCTATTATCATTGAAGAACTGTCAATGAGATTTAAAACTTTCATCTATGAACTTGCTTGGTTCACCAACACCTGTGCCCGAAGGAAACAAAATGGGGTCTAATGACCTCTTTGACTCATGGGGGAACATGGGGAGACCTGATTTCTTTCAGTACCTATTCATGGAAACCCAAATGGGTAAAGTGAAGAGGAAGCTGGGCCCTCCTCCCTACTCACTTATTCAAAGTGAGGAGGGAACATTTCAGAAGCCAAAGATGGTGGACACTAGGATTCAATTCATTGAGAGTTCTAAAATATGTCTTGTTCATATTTACTTATAGCTGATTTAATTTTGTTGACTAGGTAATGCATTTTAGATGTTGAAACAACCAAGAAATACATGTACATAGCTTTCCATAGTGTAGCACCACATTGTCTTCAAACAGGGCCTTATTGCTAGACTCTTGGGAAGTCTTCAGGATTCTATTTTGAACAATACATTTTGAACAATGAATAATTGTGTTTGTAAGCAACTTTGTACTTGAGGGAGCTGATCAATGGAATAGGTTTCTAGAAATGGGATTATGGAGTCAAAGGGGGTAAATCCAACAGTGATTTTTTTTTTTTGACAATGCCCTCTCCTCCATGTGGTATTGTACAATTTTTCCTGCAGTGTATGAGAGCATCTGTTCACCTACAACCAAGTAGTTGAGAATGATAATGGTGTGGCTTTAATTTGCATTTTTCCTATTATGAATGGGACGGAGCATCTTTTTTAAATGTTTAGTGGCCAGTTTTTTTTTTTTAAAGATTTTATTTATTTATTTGACAGAGAGAGGGATCACAAGTAGGCATAGAGGCAGGCAGAGAGAGAGGAAGGGAAGCAGGCTTCCTGCTGAGCAGAGAGCCTGACACAGGGCTCCATCTCAGGACCCTAGGATCATGACCTGAGCCGAAGGCAGAGGCTTTAACCCACTGAGCCACCCAAGCGCCCCAGTGGCCAGTTTTTTGAGTTGATGATCCTGAGTTCGGCCGGTATAAAGTCAGATCATCTACAGGTGGAGGTAGTTTTGCTTCTTGCTTTGCAATTTTGTATCCTTGCAATTTTGTATCTCTTTCTCCTGTCTAACTGAGTTAGTTAAGCCCTACGATGTGGGGGTAAAGAGTAGTCCTGATAAGACTAAATCTGGGTAAGATAAGAGTAGTCTGGGTCTTGTCCCTGACATGAGTGAAGATTCCCCTACTCTCCACATGAAGTGAGCTCTGTATTTTCTTACATGTTAAGGATGTGCCCACCAATTCCCAATCTATTGTTTGTTTGTTTTTTTTTAAGTCAGGAATGTATTTTTTTTTAATCAAATGCCTTTTCAGAGTCTATGGAGATGGTCATGATTTTTTCATATGAGGAGTGATAGTATGGCACATAGTAATTGTCTTAATTTCTAATAATGAACCATATTCGTACATTTTAAATGAGCTTGATTTATGTCATGTTAGGGATACAGACTCTGATCACGAAAGAATTGCCTAATGCTGCTCGAATATTCTGTCTTCGCTCTTACAGCTACTACGGACTGACAGTTTGGTTCCCTGATATGATCCGGTATTTTCAAGACGAAGCCTACAAGTCCAAAATGAAGGTGTTTCTCGGTGAGCACGTGTATGGTGCCTCCATCAACTTCACGATGGAGAATCAGATTCACCAACGTGGGAAACTTGTGAATGACAAGTAAGTGAGAGACCATGAGCTTTCCCCAGATCGAGATGGTGGTCTGTGAGGATTGCTCTTGGGAGAGGAGCCACTGGAAAGAGAATTCAATATAGCAGGTGAATGATCTCCAAGGCTCTTGGAGTACCTCAGAGACACAATGAAGCCTAGTGGCCTCCAGGCATCCTTAGTCATCTGACTAGAACTTATTCATCCAAGGATAGAGACATTTGACTGAGGAGAGGCAATTAGACCAATTTTCCTGAGGCCTCACACCTTTCATGGAGATGTGCACAGGGCTGTGGCCTCCTACTGCTGCCTGCCTAGAAAGAGGGCCCAGAGGGTTGAGAACCCCATACCAATCTACTACCTGGTTTTTGAGCTTTTTCTGTGATCTTAGGAAGCTTCTCTAGAAGCAAATCCAGAGGATAATATGATAATACTTTATGTTACTCTTTGGCCTAATATTACCTCCAAGGGTTGGTCAGCCTGGCCAATTACCATCAAGAGTGTTGTTCCATAGGGGAAAAATGAGTGGTGTATTTGAAGAGTCCTGCCCACATCTTTGTGGGGCTGCCTCCTCAATCCCTTTTGCTTCTCTTCCTATTCCTAGGACCGATGAGATGGACAGTCAGTCCCCCCACTGGGCTTTAAGAATGCCTCTTTGAGGCTGTGCTCTACAGGACCACCCTGCCCCCGCCTCTGGGTCAGGACACAGTCAATTAAAGTTGACCCCAGGCCACATTATTCACTAAGCTGAACATTTATCCCCGTTTCCCTTCTTGACTGTACTTAGCAAGTTCATCAAGTCAGCTACATGGTGACATCAGAAATACCACGGCCCAGACAGTTCAGTGTCAATGATACAAACTACCCCATATTTACCACCTCTTTATAAGAATCAACACCGCGAATTCTCCCCTGGAGTGCATTGTCTCCCATGACCCCTGTGCTTACCTACGTATTTGAGCGAAGTGGCCCGGCCTGTGACTGTCAGCCACATTAGGAGAGGAGCCTATGTCTGGGTGAAGTCCAAGAGGGTAGGAGGATGTCTCTTGCAGGCTAGTCCATATCACTCTCACGGGCCACACCCGAGCAAACGCTCACTGTTATTTAGGATGAGAAAGTGTGAGAGGAAAGGGGAATATCATTTCTACAAATATGAGATCTTTGGGGAGGAAGGTTAGGACAATCATGAGTGGACAAGGAATTCGGGCTTTCAGATGATATATTTTTTTAATGCAAAACCCAGTCACAAACATCTACACAATCACATGCCCGCACATACACATAGCCTCTGTGTAGAGACTTTGGTCACCAAACTCTACTGAGAGTGGCCACTCCAGGGATGGCAGCTCGAGCTAGCAGAGGTGGGTGGGGGTTACCTGGGATTTCTCACTCTCAAAGGAGCTTCTGTTTAAGTGGGGAGATCTTGTGCCGACATTGCCAATGAAGAAATGTTGCCCAAAGAACGCTTTGGAAATGTTGAAAATGAAGGGACATTATGGATGGCCAGATGTCACCCATGAAATGACACCATTCTCTGCAGAGATGAATTCAGTAAAAGAGACCTCATTTATGAAGTTTCCAATGTTTGTTGATACTCTTTTGCGGTATTAGTAATAAAGGATCACAGAATGACATTGATCATGAGGCTCATAATCATAACCATGGCAGCCAACATTATAAAGCATTTTTAGGTGTGAGTGGCTGTTTTAAGCACCCTAATAGACTATGTCATTTAATCCTCACAAAAATGAAGGAGGCCTCCAGGAGGTAAGACATATGTTTTCCTGTTGTACAGGGAAGGAAATAGAAGCTCAGAGAGGCTGAGTAACTTGCCCAAATCACACAGCTAATGTAAATAGAAATGTCTTTCCCAGGGTGCCTGGGTGGCTCAGTGGGTTAAAGCTTCTGCCTTTGGCTCAGGTCATGATCCCAGGGTCCTGGGATCGAGCCCCACATTGGGCTCTCTGCTTAGCAGGGAGCCTGCCTCCCACCCCCCCTGCCTGCCTCTCTGCCTACTTGTGATCTCTGTCTGTCAAATAAATAAAAAAAATTAAAAAAAAAAAAAGAAATGCCTCTCCAAAACACAGACATTCAGACTCCAGTCTCATACTTTTAACAACTAGATATTGTCTCACTGAAAACTGTCCCTTCCCACAGAGGCCCTGTGGTACATGGTGTCTTCTGCATTCAGAAGTTCATCACAGGGTGCCTGGGTGGCTCAGTTGGTTAAGCATCTGCCTTCAGCTCAGGTCATGATCCCAGCATCTGGGGATGAGCCCCTCATCAGGCTCCCTGCTCAGCCGGGAGTCTGCTTCTTCCTCTCTCTCCATCCTCCCCCCCTGCTCATGCTCTCTCTCTTAAATAAATAAATAAAATCTTTAAAAAAAGAATTTAAAAAGTTCATTGTAATGCCAGCGCCCTTATGGTTTGCAACAGGCTGGTTTTGTAGTTCTTAGATTTAGCTACATAAAAAATGGGAACTTCTGATCCACTCTGTTCTTTTAACCTTTCTCAGCCTCTGGAAGCTTTCATCAAGCTTCTGGGTGGGAGTGAGGAGGAAGCAAGTAATCTTGACAACGGTGGTCTCCTGTGGACCCAGGACCTCCCCCCAACCCCTGGGACCATACAGTTATTGCCAAGGGTCTGGGAATGCACAGGCACACCAAGGCTTGTCTGAGAGTGGATGTGAATATTCTGTACACACAGATATGCTGCCATGTTTCTGTATTTCAAGAGCATGTGGTTGTTTTGTGTAATTATTCAAATATAAATTCCTTCAGAAGTTGCAGTGAGTTAATTTTAACTTGTCATTTATATGGTTTCTTTGTTTTGTTTTGTTTTGGAGAGAGGGAGAGAGCAGGGAGAGGGGCAGAGAGAGAATCCTAAGCAGACTCCATGCCCAGCGTGGAGCCGGACTGGGGGCTGGATCTCACAATCCGCAGGTCAGGAGCTGAGCCAAAATCAAGAATCAGATGCTTAACAGACTGAGCCACCCAGGTGCCTCTCACTGTTTTTTAACTAATGGGTCTTAAAAGTACAACCACTATCACGTGAAATGCATTACTTAACCCCCAGCAAATTGAATAAAAGGTTGTTTTTCTCCTTGGAAGATTAGGAACCTTGAAACTTAGCGAAGAAAGGAAGGAACCGGAGTTTCTTTTCTTGGATCATGCTGCCCCCTGCTGATCATGGGTTAGAAAGCACTTCATCTTCGAAAACCCTACACCTCCTTGGAGAGTTCACTTCAGCTGGGGTGGCCCATGTCTCCCGATGTGCTCTGTATTCCTCCTCTGATGTTATCCACACTTTGGTAATTTAAAATGTAAATAGAAATTATTTACCTTATTGGCTGTCGCACACAGGGGACAATGACTTTGGTGTACGTAGGGCTTCAGACTTCTCCCACAGGGTTTGTGAATAGAGAACGTGTTGAAGCCTGAACTGCATCCTGCTGTAAGACAGTCCCTTTGGCCCCAAGAAGAAATGAAAGTACACAGATTCGTTTGGGCCTCTTCCCCAGGCACCATCCACAGCCCTCCTGGTGCATCCGATGGGACCGGGTGGCTCTGAGAACTCGTAAGCTTTTGGAAAATGCAAGAAAGACAAGAGAAAGAGTTCATATTCTAAATTCCGAGCCAAAATGTCAGGCCAGGCTTCTCATACTGTTAACTGAAAGCAGGATAGTTGTTGTTGTTGTTGTTTTGTCTGAGAGCATGTGTAAACTAATTAGTTCATTACCCTCTCTGCTTGGGGAGACATTTCTGCTTGGCAAGGCTAACTTCTGTAAGGGTTAGGGCAGGGGAAGAGTATGATACAAGACAATCAGGGGGAAAAAAATAGGACCTGCCTCACGAGTTCTCTTGGAAGGTCAGGGGATTGAACCCTGAAATGAGGGTGATTTAGCAGAAAAGAGAAGAAGGTTGATTTCATGCATCACACTGAGGCATCACCCACACTGTTCAAAGCTTCTTTCAGCGAGGCAGAAATAAGAATTTTTTCCGCCTCCCGTGGGTCTGTTTCAGGGTAGAGAAGTCCCATGAAGCCACCACGGGTGGGAAATGTGTAAATGCACCTTCCGGCTTCCAGGCCTGGGGAAGTAGCTTGAGGGGCTGGATTTCAAGCCTCAATGGGTCAGAGACTCGCAGAGCATCTCTGACTTGTGTAAGTCTCCGGTTCCACATCGGAAAGCCGTCATCTTGGTAGATAACATGCCTCATGCTTCAGAGTTGATCAAATCTCTCATTTAATCTAGGCCCTGCAAAGATCTTTGTGGAGACTCTTCCGGGATATTTTATAACCTCTCTGGCTGCTGAAAATTGGCTTGCTTTCTCCCCATCAAACATTTACTCAGGTTATTGCAAATAAATAGAAATCCTATTCATTGGGGGATGTTTATTCGGTATCTAAGCTATTCCATTAGTCCCAACAGTTCCCCCTTTGTTATTGTGTACGATCTCATCCTCTGCAAATAAACATTGTTTTGTCTCCTTTCTTCTCTCTCTCTCTCTTTTTTATTCCACTGTGAAGTACATCAAATATGCAGAGAATAGAGAATAATGGAAACAACGTGCTTCAGAGCAGCTGGCTTTATAAAATCATAAGCTGTGCTATATTTACTTCAGATTTTAAAATAGATTAAACATTACTCGCTCGGTGAGCCTCGATGGGATTCCTCTCTCTCCCAAAGCATAATGACCACCATTGTTAATAAACCTGGTGTTTTACACTGATGGATGTTTTTATATTTTTCCCGTGTGTCTATGTTGACAAACATTGTACAGTACTTTTTACATGGTTTGGAGTTTAGATAAATATCATACTATGTTGTATATGTAAATGTATATTATACTATAGATTTTGCAACTTGGTTTTTTTTGTATAGAATTAGGGGTTTTGGAGGTGCATGGGTAGCTCAGTGGGTTAAGCCTCTGACTTCGGCTCAGGTCATGATCTCAGGATCCTGGGATTAAGCTCCGTATCGGGCTCTCTGCTCAGCGGGGAGCCTGCTTCCC